TAAATCTGTCCAAGCTTTAAAGACCTCTTCCCAAAAAGGGTTTTTACATTTTTTTGTTGGGCCTAAATAAACTAGGTTTTCAATACTAGTTTTTCAGTACTTTCTAATAGGTTATTTAGTTTTGGGTCGTTTTTCAACAACCGTCTAATCCATGTTAGTTTCAATCCTTTTATATATTTGTCAATATCTATCATTTTCAGCCCTCCTAATTTGTGTTCAGAACATAATATTTCTCTTTTTATCTTGTCAGGTTTGTTTTCCCAAATAAATGAATAAATTTTGTCAGTTAGTTGTTTTAAAGTATTTTTGCATGGTGCTTGTAATGTTAAAAACAGATGGTTCAATTTTGAAATAATTAGTGTCTTGATGATTGTTATTTTTCCAACCGGTGTTAATGTTTGTTTAGACCAAATTTTTATTATATTTTCAATTTCTTTAATTCTTTGACCATAGTTCAACAATTCCATTTCATGCAAATTAAAAGAAAAATTGTATTCCTAGTAATGTAAACCTACTGGAACCCCATTCCAATCCCCATTTTACACACATGGTGTCTTGACTATATTTTTTTTTGGCTATCCACACCACCTTTGTTTTGTCCAAGTTCATATGGAGACCAGACATTTCAGCATATTTTTGAAGTAAGCGAAGAGATGCATCTAGAGATCTGGGAGTACCGTCAAGTATTATTGATGTGTCATCTGCGTATTGTGAGATAAGATATTCTGTGTCATAAATTTTAATTCCTTTAATTTCTTTGTTCTTTCTGATTAAAATTCCTAGAATTTCAGCACATAAAAGAAAAATGTAAGGTGATAAAGGATCCCTTGTCTACAGCCACTTTGAATCTCAAAGAAATCTGACAGAAAACAGTTTTGGGATACTGATGAGCTTATATTTGTGTAAAAGGTCTTTATCCAATGTTTTATAGAGGGTCCAAAATTGAAAAAGTCTAATACTTCATTTATGAATTTCCATGATACGGAATCAAAAGCTTTTTCAAAATCTATGAGAAGGAGAAGACCTGGTAAATCATTTACCTCTGTATAGAATAAAATATCATATATGAGACGAGTGTTTTCTCCAATATATCTTCCAGGAATGAAACCTGTCTGATCATTGTTAATAATAATGGGTAGAACAGATTTTATTCGCTCTGCTATACAACTTGATGCTAGTTTATATGTTGTATTATTGGTCGCCAATTTTTCATGAACTGTATAGGTTTATCACCTTTTGGTAAATAAGTAATAATACCCTGCTTTTGAGTTATTGACAATTCCCCCTTTTGTAACCATAAATTATAGATCTGAAAACAAATTTTCCTAAATTTGTCCAAAAGAATTTTAAAAAATCATTTGTAAAGCCATCTGATCCTGGACTTTTCTCATTTTTCATTCTACGCAAAGCTGTTGTCAATTCATTATAAGTTATCTCCCCCTCTAAAGATTCTTTTAAAGAATCATTTAATTTTTCAATATCAGAATCCGGAATTTCGCTATCAAGATTTACTTTACTCAAGCTTTCTGTTTTAGTATACAGTTTTTTATAGTAATTTTTGGCCTCTTCTTATATTTTATCTTATTTACAAATTGTCTCCCCTTTTTCGTTAACTAGTTTGGGGATGGTTTTATTTATAAAATGTTTAGTTTCCATATTAAAAAAAAATAGATGGCTTTTCCCCTTCTTCAATCCATTGCATTTTTGATCAGATATAGTATCCCCTCATTTTTTCTTTCCTTATTATTCTAAGATCAGATTTATGGTGTTCAATTTCTTTTAATATTTCCTCTGTTAAGATGCTTTCCTCTAATTTCTGAATTTTTTCTGATAATAATTTTTCCTGTTTATCTCTTTCCGTCTTTTTATAAGATGCATAGTAAATAGTTTTTCCTCTGATTTCAGTAAGAAAAAAGAGTTGGTCATTTATTGTAAAGTGGATTTCTAAATCATTTATTTGTTCTGAAGTTTCTCTATTATATACTAGTGATACATATTGGTCTTTAACTTTAAGTATAGTGTCTTTTATAGTTTTGGAATATTCAATATCATGTAAAAGTGAGTTGTTAAATTTCCATAATCCTTTTCCAAGTATGAAATCATTCATCTTCAGATTTAATATTATTGGGGAGTGATCTGATCTATAGCTGTTGTGAATTTGTACATCAACTACATTTTGATTAAGGTCTTGGGATATTAAAAAGAAGTCTAATCTTGCTTGTTTTATGGGATTAGCTTTTCTCCATGTGAATTGTTTTAAGTCTTGTTTAATTTCCCTAAAGGGGTCTGTTAAATTAAAAAAAAATCTATTAAGTCTAGAACTTTCTCCTTAGCTTTTGGGTTATGTTTGATTTTTTGGCTTTAGCTTGTGCATGCTAAAAAGAAACTTTAAAAGATATCGAAAAAAGATTTTCACTTAATTGTTAGTTGTGATCTGTCGCAATAGGAAATTTTTATTCGAAGCGAAGCAGTAACTTTCACTAGGAGTTTTCTCCCCTTAAATGTTAAAAGTAAAATGTATTGTAATGTCACTTATTAACAATACATAGTAGAGACCTAAATTCGTTTTATATGAAGTCCTTGCTTGATGAACTTAAAAATAAGGTCAAGGTCATAAGTAAATTTGACGTTCTAGATTTTGACCTTTGCTTTAACTTCATATTTATACATGATAAAGCCATGGGACTCTTTGCATTAGGTTGCAAGCCATATGACCTTGAAAACTGCAACCGGAAATGACCTTGTGTAAACCGGAGGCAGCTATTTTTTGTACTTATTTAATGTAAAAAGTATATAGAACCATATATTTTTTGAAACAGTGTCAAGTAAACTATCAAATAATACCGGAAGTGACTTTTTCAGACAGGAAGTAACAAATAATATCCCTTTTTTCAAACAAAAGTGTATTGAAACCATATATTTTTTAAATCAGCATACAATAAGCTATCATTTGACACTGGAAATGACATTATAAAATGGATTTTAATATTTTCGTATCAAAAGATATCGTTTCGGGTGGAAAGACCTTCAATTGTTCTCTGAACAATTGGTTTTTAATATATATTTATTTTGTTTCATTCTGTTTCTTTGACAACGACCACAGAGTATGCACACTGTCTCCTTTTGCTGTAATACTGGTTCGATTTTACACAAAGCAACAGATTTATTTTTAGTAACATAGAAAGTCGAAAATCTAGATCAGCTGTGATGATATTACCCACAGTAGCAGTCCTAGGAAACTGTATAGCTTTCGCATTTGCATATTTCCTCACTCGTCAGGATAAATGTATTTTTACAACCTGCGTTCAATCAATCGTCTACAGATAGGTATTATATCAAGTCATTGGCCAGAAGCAGCATTCTTCAGTTTCAAATGTAATTACCTGGCTTCCTTTTTTGGCAATGTTATAATTCAGAAAATGCCAAAAAACAAAATCTCTTCACTCAGTTTTTTAGGGAACATGTCAACTCATTTACTAGCAACAAATTCCCGTTTTTCTTGAACAACTACCAAGAGCTAGGCCCGGAAGGACCTTTTTATTTCATATCTAAACCAAACTGATAATCGTAACATTCAGACAATTCATATGTTTTATCAATTTAATATTAAGTGGTCTGCAAAAAATTGATATTAAATTCCTTACTTCCAAGACCAAAGCAATTATCAATCAATTCATTATAACTATGTTTCCGCTACAACTTCGCTTGCAACGAATCATAAAAGGTTTTATTCATTGTCGGTGGTAAGACGGAATATTATAATACAGTATAATAATAAGGAGATGTGGTACGATTTTCAATGAGACAACTATCCACCAGAGTTCAAATGAAGCGGATGTAAGCAATTATATGCACCGTAAGACCTTCAACAATGAAAATAAACCCATACCGTAAAATCGGCTTTTAAATGTCCCAACATTTAAAATGTGAAACAACGAGAAAAATAACGGCATAACTTATAACAAAACAATGTGTATGTCTATTTCATTGATAGTCTATATCGTCGTCTCTTTTATTTCATTTCATGTCCCTATCATTATGATTTACAGAAATTGTCAATAAACCAGAATAAGACTTCAAAATATAAAGTGTAGCGTTTATACTATAAATTGATCTCTCAATTGTAAACGGATATATCATATATCATACCTAATATTTCATATTTTCTGCAGTTACAATAAAAGCAATCTACGACGAACTCTTTTCTTCGTTGTTCTCATCCGCAGCAGTCGAATAAATGTGTTGCCAATTTTTTCTACATAGATAATAACAGATGGCGGTGTTGGATTCCTTAATAGATAACATGAGTAACATTATAGATACAGAAAAAACACATCAACCAGAGAATCGAAAGTTCAATATATTTTGTAATTACCACATGCTTGCTATTTGTGAGTAAAAAAATGTTTATGCGTATAAATTGTATAAAAGTAATATCTGTTTTTGATTGCAATATTCCATATTTTTGTATGAATTTTCTATTTGTTATTCATGTAATTTTTGAGTGTTTTCCACCATCTTGTAACATAGCAGAAGACAATATATCTAAATCTTCAATCCAGTCAGCAAAGTTTATGCAAGAATGCTACTTATTAATCAGGATATTCAATAATTAAACAAATTAGTGTGATTTTATCTTTAAATTGATAACACATTACAGGGTGTTACCGCAGAATATGTTCAAATGATAAAGAAATCTATAGGGAACAAATGGACGGCGACCCCCATATTATCTTTTTAAAAAATATACTTAACATGTTATAAGAGAAATGTTGATGTTTTCTAACATTAAATTTCAAAATTCATTGTGCACGCCATACGCGCGTTTTGTATACAGAAGACTCATCGGTGACGCTCGAATAAAAAAAGAAAAGTCCAAATAAATTACAGAGTTGAAGAGCATTCAATTTGAAAAACACCAATTCTGAAAGGTTTTGCCAAATACTGCTTAGGTAATTTATTCCTTTGGATGGAAAATCATCAGTAATTGAAAAATTCAAAGTTTTTCAAACAGTTTATTTATGAATATAACCATATTAATGACAATTCATGTCGACACACAACATTTAGAAGTGCTGACTACTGATATGGTAATACTCTCGTAATCCATAAAACATATGTCATGTTTTAAAATTTGTAGCTTGGCAATACGCTTTGTCACCTATCTTTCTTTATATACATCTAAACATACATGTATCACAATATAACCTACATTTTGCCAAAAAATTACAAAATTCTATTATTACAGATTATACTCCCATACTACTTTAAATGATATTATCTGTTTAATCATTATTTTGAAGTGGTGCAATAAAAATAAAACAAAAAGTAAAATATACTTCAGTCTGATATAAACATGATCATAATTCAAATGAATCTATCAGTATGTTATTCTGAATCTACCACAAATTGGTATATGGAGGTAAAGCTTTTTGAGTTGATGTCCGTTTTTGCGGATACTTTTACGTCGCCCGAGTCACCTGTTTTTACAGTAACGTCCCATGGCTGACTGTTTTCTTTTTTATAAACCTTGCCATCGATTAGGATTTGTTCAATCACAGGAGAAGACATAACGAAACGAACATTCGCATTGGACGGGATATTACGCACAAGCGGCTCGACAAGATGGCAATTATATTCCTTTGTAGAAGAATATGTTTTAGGAAATGGAATTGAGATTTTTGCGCCTATTTTGTTCAGAACCAAAATATTCATTGCCTCACTATGTTTGTCGTTGCCTTCCAACTCGCTAAAAATCGTAAGTTTATAGTATCCCTTGATTATAAAACGTGCTTTGACACACACCGAATCGTTCGATTGTTCAATCATGACAAAATCAGAGCTTCTGCTTCCATCAGTCTCAAAAATGTTTGCAGAAACCTTAACAGTCCTATTTGTTTTTATTTTCAATTCAAATTCACCGTTTTTGCAGATTTGAAAAGCAGGTATTGAGTCAAAATTTACAAAGCCTCGAATTTTACAATCAGTAGACGGACCATAGAATCTATTATGTTCTGGATAAGGCATGAATTCTTCCTCTGTAGACGTGCATTCTATCATATACTCTGTCAGTTTCGGCATGACATTTTGTAATTGATCAAATGAACCGTATACCTTAAGTGTATACTTTCCAATTTCTTTTGGCATGATGGTAATTGTGTAGTTTGAAAAGTTATCCTTGACCAATACCACAGAGTTGTTGCATAGTTCTCTGCTGCTATTATAAAGGGTTACTTTAACGTTCGTTAGTGTGTTTTGTTTCGATTCTATTAATATTGAAGCCTTCCTTTCAACTTTGACAACTTCATATTTATAAGATGGAAATGTAATATCCCATTCTCTTGCAAACTTTGTTGTTTTTAAAGTTTTTGAAAATTCTTCAAGAGTCACGGGTCTTTTAAGAAGTTGCCATTCCTTGCTCCCCTCTACGTCATTATTGTTGTAAGGAAAATGATCCTCTATGAAGTGTTCTGGTTTTATTAAAAAGTAGAAATTTGAAAATTTCTTTACGAATGCTTTTTGATTATCAAGATAACCAGCTCCCCATGTTGTCTCTATAAATCTCCATTTCCCGGAAACAAATACAACATTCCAAGCATGATCTGTTTTGTTTTCATAAGATAAGATTGTACCAAGCTGATGGCCATATCCTTTCGAGAATCCACTGATCTTTTGACATTTTATGTCTTTTGCTCTGAAACAAATTATGCTATATATACAATTGACTATTTGATATATGTTCATTGTGTGCAGGTAGAAGAAGATTGTTATTGACTGATTGTCAGTTTTAACGTTACTTATACATGCTATAACACTTGTGTTTATATCAGGATAACCAGTTATTAATAATGAAGGATGTCTGAGTACTTGGAAAAAACACGAAACAATTTATGAAAAACATGCAAACAAGCTATAATTGTTTGAAATATTTTAAGCAATTTTTTGATACATATTCTTATATTGTTACGAAGTTTAAAATTTTCACACCTGATAGCATCCTCGTTTTATTTTTCTACGTATATAAAATTTTTCATTTGTTTTATGGTAAAATTCACAAAATATACGCAGTGATTGAAGAAAAAATGAAATAATTATAAAACTTTTTCCATTAGTATATTTAGCTGAGGAGAAGGACTGAAGGACAATTTAAAAAAAAAAGTTAGTTTTACATTATGATACGATCATTAAAAGTTGGGTACGACATAATACTTTGTTTGTTGGTCGTCCCTGCAAGTAGAATAAATAATTGGAAGAGCCTATCATATCATTCACACACACACTACTTTTAGATTTTAAAGCATCAACAGGCTCTCTAGCACGTGACTAATTAAGTATATTTTTACTGTACTCACACACAGAGTGCTTGGAAGAGTCTAGCATATCCTTCACACACACTGCTTTTAGATTTTAAAACATCAACAGGCTCTCTAGCTGCCGATTCACCACCAAAGTAAGCTGTGGCATTGTAACTGAAAGTTCATGTAGCATATAAAAATATGTTTAACTATTATATACTTTATTGGTTTATTTTAACATGTGTACCTAACAGCAGACTGATAAATGTAATTTAATGGATAAAATTGTGCGTCAAAAACTACCGATGTTTTTCTTCAATGATTTCCCAGCCATTCGCATTTTGATAATACGTTCACAAATTTAAAATCTTATCGGAAGTTAATCGACACCAGCATGAATACTTTAACCTGTGGAGAATATTTATCGCAGATGATCATACAAATACATATCATAGCTTTCATAACTACAGTCTCAGTTTTCTTGCTTTTGCTTATGGCATTTCCACACAAAATATTTCACTAGTAACACGACGAGGGTCATTAGTCGGATTAAAAGCTGCTTACCCCTTACTTTAATGAGTTTTGTATTTCTTTTACTTTCGTTTTCTTGAAGCTTTCTGTGAAACATTATACTATGTTATCAAATGTATCGTTCCTATTGTATATTGTACGCACATGTGACTTGTTCCTACTAATTATACATAAAATGAGTGTTCTACACTCGACAACCACAGTCAATTCTTAACCTCCTCTGGAACCTGTGTACTCAAGATCTGTGATTTGTGAGGATATTTTTTTTTCTGATCACTGTCAATTTCTTTCCTTTATTAAACAACAGAACTGACATAAGCTCAAATATCGGGCGTTTGATTGTAATAAAAAATTAAAAATTTTACCATAGTATGTTCATGGATAAATAGTATTCTATACTCGTAAATATTCCTAGATTAAATCTTATCTTACCTTATATTATTGCAAATCCAAACATAAAAAGCTCGAATGGTCTCTAGTTCACTTTTGGCAGGTTTTGCCAGATAGTCAGCAAGTTCGTTGATAGAGTTTTCAACAGACTTTGGCGTCTAAAGATAAATTTTTATGTAAATGAAGTTGGTGTAAACTATTAAATAATCGGCATTTTTTTCATTATTATAAAAAGTTGTATATTGACATGACTATTGTGAGATTGAATGCCATCTTGGGTCCTTTTAATCAGAAGATATGCACATGTATTTATGTCTTATATTTCTGTAGCAAGTAATTTCGGTAGTTGTCAGACTTTTTAAAAAGAGTTAATAGAAATACAGTGTGTTAATCAGAAATGATTTATGTAATCCGATGCCTCGTGGTGAAATGTGTATATATATATATGTATTCACACTGATGTGGACTGTATTTAGTTTTGTTATATATATGCAATGTATAAAACACCAAAATAACGAAAATTAATACGACCAATTGAAAGAAAACAGATTTTGTATAAAAGATGATTATTGATGATAAAAACTAAAATTTAACATATATGAAAGTAAAGAAACTATTGTTACAATATGTCAAAAGATATAATAGAAGTTATAACATTTCAAAAATTATTATAAGAGGTGTTTAGTGAATGTATTTGTTTTTTAATAATTGAAAAATATAAGTCGCTGAGACACGGGGAGCTCAAAAATATTTAATAAAAATGTAAAATGATAAGCAAATAATAATTATTATCACTAACGTTATAATAGGAAACGCAGATACTTGGATGCGACTAAGATTTTGTTTTCATGTTGCTTGGTCTGTACCAATTTTCAAATCTTCAATCTCAACTACATTGTTTTCATGTTAAACAAATTAAAGTATCCGCTGCGTTTAATGTATCTCTTTGTGTTTATTTTTCTCACAAAAGCCAATGGAATTAATGTTAAAACTTTTGGAAAGGGAAAAGATACCAACATGACTTATTCATCACAAGTCAACTTCGATTGATGTAGCTGCAACCTTTTCATCTTTTTGAAAACATGTACAAAAGTAAATCCCACCATGTGTAAGTAACGTTGATTAATGGTCATAATACCTGTCTTGCATGTTCATCTATATCTTTGAATTCGTCGAAGTCAAGTTTGAAATCATCAGATTTTGCTGAAGGTTTTACTTTATCACTGTTCGTTGTTCTGGTTTTGTCATTGTTCGATGTCTTTACTTTTGACGACTGTACAATTTGTGATCTATTGACAGCTGTTGTAGAATTGGGATTTCCTCCAACCTCCTTAGTTTTAATTTTTTCGATTGACTGTTCCGTACCAGATGACGAAGATGAACCACATCCCATGGCTACAGCTTAAATGTTTAGTATCTCTGAAACAGTGATGGCACTTAGTAGGGTTTGACTGAACCAAATCGTTTAGAATGATAACATTATTTATAATTAATTGCAAAATATGTAAAGTTTAAATTTAGATATTTTGTTTCATTATTATTTTGCATTATCATGTATTTGTATTGCCTTTTAACAGATGAAACTGTCATCATGCATATTTATATAGACAAATAAATGTGAAATAAATATGACTTACCTAAGTTAGTAAAGGCCGTCTACATTACTGAACAGTTCTCGATATTGAAGTAAACGACGATCAAATTAAAAGCCGCTATATCTTTTGAAATCTCGATGCTTATAATTATATATATATATATGTTTTTAGTTTTAAATCCTTAACTACTAAATGTGTACAAAAACCTCTCATTTACTTCAGTAAATATTTGTTAATTAGAACATGTTTTGAGATCAATTTAAACAGTTTGAAAATACAAACGGACGAATTTAAATATCTGCTTTGTTTTTTGTTTGTTCAATAAAAAATAGTACGGGTCAAGTAGGTTATGTCTATGTAAAAAGTATAATGGAACGAGCAGTCAAATATATTGTACATCACGGACAACTTTAGTCTAGTTTTGAAGATGGATATCATGCTATTCGATTAAAGCCTTGGATGAAGTGGTGTACATTAAAATTACCAATTGCAAATATAGTTTAAGATCAATAGGGGTCTTAAAAAATAACACTGATTAACATTGAGATGAGTAAATAAAACATTTAATGGAATCATGCACCGGAAATGTTGTTTATATCTAGTGTGTAACGTTTATGTCCGATTACCAGAGCATGGTGACCTATACTATTCCTTTAACACGTGAAAAATGACAAAATCTACTACATGAAGTATCTTAATTTTATTCAAATCTTAGATTGAGAAATGCAATAATATTTGAAAACATGCATGGACATTTTTGAAAACTGTTGTTAACATCAAATAAAAACAAACAAGAAATGTGTACACTAATAATAAAATCCAATTCAAGTTTTATTGAAAAGATAATAATAGTTTGGAGGCGTAAACAGCAACAGCATAAATATTAATGTACAAGTATTAAGATTTATTGTAATCAAATCATTTAAAACAAGAAAATGCTCATTGAATACTTGTGTCCGCCTTTTTCAACATTGAATACAAGGATGGAATATATAGCAATTTATGGACTTGCAGCTATTGAAAATCTCTGAAAATGTTAAATCTACTTATAAATATCTGACATCGCAAATAGCATAGGAAACACTTAACGAACTTCTACAACCCGTTCATTTCCCTCTTGAAGTTGAGCCTTAACCAAAATGGAATCACACTAATGATTTTCTAGTTTGTACTTGCAGCTAGCAATTAATAACTTGTTCTCAATTCATTTTAAATGAAAAGAACTATGCGAAGCTGCCACGAACAACATGCAAAAATGCCTTTTTGTTCGTCAACAGATGATCATCCTATGGACTATTCGCTGGCAATTGGAAATCAGCATCATGCCCAGACTTATGTTAGGCATCAGGAATATGTTCCTTTTCACACGTTATTAGCAAAGCTTGCGGAAAAATACAGAGCTCTTTCTTTTTGCATTTCTCATTACGACGATAAACACCATATGAATGATCTTCATACGCAAAACTTAGTGCTGTTCTTGCACTTTTTTTACTCTTTTGAATTATTTACAGTACAAAAATTGAAATTGTTCAAAACAAATGTTTGGAATATAGTTAATACAAAAAAAGAAGATGTGGTATGATTGCCAATGTGACAACTCTTCACAAAAGACCAAACTGACACAGAAATTAACAACTATAGGTCACTGTACAGACGGCAACATTGAGCAAAGACCGTACCGCATAGTCATCTATGAAATGACCCGAATTGACAAATGTAAAACAATTCGAAAAAAAAATCTAACGGCTTATTAATGTACAAAAAAGAAAAACAAATATGTAACACATTAACAAACGACAAACACTGAATTAATGCGACTGACTAGGGACAGGTACATACATACAGAATGTGGCGGGATTAAACATTTTAGGGGTTCCAGTGGAATAACAGTACAACATAAGAACGAACTATAAAAATCAGTTGAAGTCTTAACTTATCAGATGGATACTAATAGAAATACATCTAACAGAAACACAGAGTGGACGTGGCCAGGTACTTGTATATCACAACAACAAAAAGATAATAAGTTCTCATCTGAGAGTACTCTCAGTTTCTGACAGCTAGTTCAAAACGCTTACTTAGCTTGTTCAAATAAGTTACGAAAACGTTTCAAAATATTAAGTTGATGAGATGCCTTCCTTTATATTTTACCAATATGAATATCAAAAAGTTTAATAACAAAAATATCGAACGAATGGATAACAATTGCCATAATCCTGACTTTGTACAGGCATTTTATTATGTAGAAAATGGTTGATTAAACCTGGTTTTATAGCTTTCTAAACCTCTCACTTGTATGACAGGCGCATACAATTCCATTATGTTGACAAAGATGTGCGAACAAAACAAAAATGCATAACAGGTATACATGTCAAAAATATAGGTACAGTAGTCAACATTGTGTTATAATCTTAATCACTATAAAACAAGCAAATATGTCATCAAAATTCAGCTGATAATTTATGTCAATGCCAAGAAGTTTGACGGTTATCACACACGAAAGAGCAGCACTTTGTATATGTATACATGGATGTTTGTTGTGTGTCTTTTTCCCAACTGATAAAACCTGAAATTTGTCAGGGTTTGCCTGCATTATATTATTTTTGAACCATTCAATAAGTTAAAGGGATTTGTATTCTAAAGTAGAAATTGAAACATCATAGTCTGGATTACAATAAGATAAAGTATTGTCATTTGCATAATTATACAGAATCCCATTATTTATAAATAAGAATATAAAAAAAAACATTGAACAGGAGGGAGCCCAGGATAGAACCATGGGGAAACCCCTTATGAATGTCAGCCCAACTGCTTAGAATACTATTTATTGATATCTGGTCTTTCCTATTTGACAAATAAGTTTAAAGAAATGAAATCGAATGAGAAGAGACATGACATGCTGATAATTTATAAAGCAGAATTGCATATGGTAAGGAATCGAATGCCTTAGAAAAGTCCATTAGAATCGCAGTAATATACTGATTATTATATAATGCTGTACGCCAATCTTCTAGCCGTCTTAACAGTGTGGTCTGACACCAATAGCCACGTCTAAATGCACATCAATAAGGATAAAATATTTAAAAAAAAAGATACATCTTTTCAAAATTAAAAAAAAAAAATAGGTAGACGACTGCCAGGCCTATAGTTGGCTTTGTCTAGTTGGTTGGTTTTTGTTTTTGTTTTTGTTCAATGGTTGAACTTGAGCCAGTTTTGGAGCCAGCTTAAGTCTATCAGGAAATACAACTGTTTTTACAAACTAATAATTTATCAATGTTGGTAACTGTGGCACGATTATAGGTTTCAACATTTCACTGCCTTTGCTTGTACATGTATGCCATATACTCCAGTAACTGTTTTAATGTTAGTTTTGTTTATAATTTGTGCTACTTTTTCTGTTATTGTTTTTCTGAAATTCCAATTTTGGGTTTGTGCAATTATGATTTTTTACTTGATTACATGACAAAATAGTTGTTGGGCCGTCGTATATCACATCACTACCAATTTTATGGTGAAAAAATGCATTAAAGTGTTCTGAATCATCTTTGGTGTTGTTTATGATTTTGTTGTTTTCACATTAAACAAATTTTTGTTCTCCAGAGTGACTTATTTTTTTTTTTTTAGAAAAATGGCTTTATATTTGTCCTAAAGGTAATGTTTTGGTTCTACCTGAAAAAACATTCTAAAAACTATTTTTTCATGGACACTTTTTAAAGTTTTGTATTTTCTATATTTTTCCCCTGTTTTTGAATTCATTTGCTTTGTAAATTGTGTGTACAGCATGTGTTTGCTATATACGGCTTTTTTTAGTTCACTATTCATGCATGATAATGGTTGTTTCCTTGGTTGTCTTGTTTTAATCGGTGCATGTTTGTTCAGGACAGTTGTGAACGTATCTTCAAATTCATTGTATGCATTGTTCAACTGTTCTTAGGTAGTGACATTTTCTGTGAGTGGCATTTTTATTATTGTTAAGATCTGTGTTAAATGAATCTACATACACATTTCTATAACTTCTATATTATTATTTTTTTTGCTGTTTTAGGGCACGAACTGCTAAACAATTATTCTCTAAATTATTAGATTCTTTGTCAGCTCTACGACTAGATGGAAAGTCAGAATTGATAAATAACATGATGCCACCACCTTGTTTGTTTCTACCTCGTCGATCACGTTTGTAACCGTCCACTTTGAACAAGTTATCATTAAACGATTTGTCAATATCGTTTCTGCAGCTATAAGGAGATCTGCGATTTTATCATATAGTAGTTCTCTAATCTCGTCGAACTTGTACCTTATGATATTTATATTCATATATGCTACCATGAATTTACTTGGGTGTTTTTTCCTGGAGACCGCATGTATAATAAATAATGAATTTTAAAAGATCACATTTTTCACCCAAAACTGTTCTTTAGATATAATTCTATTTCATTTTAATGCGTAACGACAGCATGAAAAAGCTCGGTATTTAAATGTGTTGCCGAAAGCATACATACATGGATGACGTCGATTTGGTTATAGTTGACAAATACGATGACATTATTACGCGGAATATTCGTTTTATGACATTTAACACCGAAATAATACCTGAAATGGAATGATTTGTTTATTTTGTATATAATAGAGATAGCAGTATTGTATTTGAAGTTTTGCTTTCTATAAAATATAAAAAAAGAAGATGTGGTTAGAATACCAATGAGGCAACTCTCCACAAGAGACCAAAATGACACAGAAATTAACAACTATAGGTCAACAACGGCCTTCAACAATGAGCAAAGCCCATACCGCATAGTCAGCTATAAAAGACCTCGAAATGACAAATGTAAAACAATTCAAACGAGAAAACTAACGGCCTAATTTATGTACAAAAAATGAACGAAAAACAAACATGTAACACATCAACAAACGACAACCTCTGAATTACAGGCTCCTGACTTGGGACAGGCATATACACACAGAATGTGGCGGGGTTAAACATGTTTAGTTAATTTGATTGTCGCCAATTGGGTTTACCTGGTCGTATAACAAATTTGGGCATAACGCAGAACAGCCAAATGTGTTTGTTAATGTGTTTGCGCTTAAAGTAGATATGATGTGATAATACTGATAAAGCTATGTTTATGATAATTTCAAGCTCACGATATGTACCAAATGGGTCAATATCCCTAATGTGCCGCTAATTAAGGAATTTAAAAGAACTGCGTAAACAAAAAATCTCGTGTGTAGTGAAATTGGACACGTTTCCATTTTGAGCAAGTGATTGAGCTTAACCAGTTGTGCTGATTTGGAAATTGAATATAATAAATGTGTAAAAACTATGGAGTTATTAAATATATGCAAAGACTAACATTTTCAAAGAAATTATTGTGAAAAATGAATTTTTTTACCTGGAGGAGCCGCATCACGAAACGATTTCGGGGTGCTCTAATTTGCGGAAAAGTATAATGCACTTCATACCCTGAAAATTCAATCACATATGTGAACAAGTCTCAGTTTTGAAACGAGCCATCATACATATCCAAGTTTACGATATGAGCAGAGGAATTTCGGAAAAGGCTACCATTACCACCTATCTAAAATGAATTGCGTATCTGTACCCAATTATTGGTGATATCTTATGATAAAATTATTTTTTATGAATCTTTAAGTCATAAGATAGATACCAGATGGTGGTGGAGTTATACGATATAGGAAAAAAAACGGTATGTAAAGATGGAGAGCAAATAGAATATGATTACCTTTCAGAAGACATAACATATGATTTGTTTGTAGCTCCGTTTAAGCTTTACATATGTGTAGGACTCTAAAGTGCGATGGTACTCTAAAGTGCGATGGTCACGCTAAAGTTCGATGGTCTACGCTAAAGTGCGATGGTGTCAGACGCTAAAGTGTAATGGTTGTTTGTTTTTTTAAGTGCGATTAGATGACACGCTAAAGTGCGATGGTATGATACGCTAAAGTGCGATGGTATATGACACGCTAAAATGCGTTGGTATAACACTCTAAAGTGCGATGGTTTAACGGGAATGGGGTTCAGGGAATAATTTTTCGTCTATTGAATTGTTTATAAATCATGCCGTTGTCTTATTTACACTAGTCATTGCGGGGTCCTTTATAGCTTGCTATGCGACTAGAGCCGATGCTCCACGTCTAAGGTCATATTGTTATTAGGTGCATACATCAACGATATTTAGTCTTTGGTGGATAGTTGTTTCAGTGACAATTACAACACATCTTCTTATTTGCTTTTTGTTTATTGTGTTGTATATAAATCAATCTGTTTTTTTTCTAGTTTTAATTGTTTTACACTGGTCGTTTTTATACCCTTTGGTCTTTATAGAATACTATCTGCGTGGTTAGCCAAACGGTGACCTATAGTTAATAACATTAATGAGATTTAGTCTTGGATAGAGACTTGTCTCACTGGAAATCATATCATGATACTACACCTCTGGTCGTTAGGTTACTGTCTTGTTGACCAATATCCATCTCTTTAACAAACATGACAAACCATATTGTAAAAAATTGATTTATAAAATAATTCAATTAGAAAGTAAAAAGTAGACTTTATTCGACGCAAGTGAATAACATGGGATTACAAACATAGAAGGAGTTTCTAAATTAAATTTGGACGAATTAATTACTGTGACACTTGATGTATTTTGCCGATTTCACTCTCTTTTACGGTAAACACATTCTCCATGCTCTCGTCAGTTTCTACGTTTATGAGAAGTTCCGTTTCCAGTACCTTGACAGAAACACGTTTGTCCCAAGCCGACAAAGTTGAATTTGGTTGAAAGTCTATAAGTTAGCGGGATAAAAGGTTTGCATTTCCGTAACTGTGGATGGTTGTTTGTGAAATAACTCCTCCGGATACAAACTCTTCTAGCACCGACCAAAAATGTTCCGAATTTGGATCATTTGTTTCTTTTTTCTTTCTTTTCTTCTTGTCTAGTAAAAAACCTTCCAGATCTGCACATTTTTGTTTGTACAAACGGCTTGTAACGTCATAATGCTATGGTTAACGTTGCAAACGTCCATACTTTCGCGAACAAAAAAAAACGCACTTTAGCGTATTGAGGCATCGAACTTTAGCGTGGTTCATTTAATAGCACAGACCATCGGACTTTAGCGTATCAAACCATCGCTCTTTAGCGTGACCATCGCGTTTTAGCGTCCCCTTTGCACTTTAGAGTCCTACATATGTGTTCATGATTTTGATTGTTAAGTTGTGTATAGTTTCTACAAAATTGATAATGACATGTAAAGAAAACCCACGCTAAGTAGGGGGAGAGTGGAGATCTCACAAAACATGTTTAACCCCGCCGCATTTTTGCGCCTGTCCCAACTCAGAAGCCTCTGGCCTTGGCTAGTCTTGTATGTTTTTTTTTAATATTTTAGTTCATCTATATGTTTTGGAGTTTAGAATGACGTCCATTTTCAGTGAACTAGGACTCATTTTGGTTTAGGGCCATCTAAGGCCCACCTCCGGTTGCGGGATGTTTTCGCTGCTTTGAAGACCCATTGGTGGCCTTCGGCTGTTATCTGTTCTTTGGTCGGTATTAAATATACATTTTTACTTTGATTATGGTTCAAAGATTGTCTAAGTGGAAATAAATTACTAAACTCTTGAGGCGTGACTCATAGTTTTAAAACTATAAAAACCATTACATCAAAGTATTTTAAAGACACACTTCGGTTTTTTTTCACCAAATTTTAAATCCTTTGACATTGTCACTGTGGTTTAGGGGATTTTGATCATACATAACAGATGGAAGTAACAGACGATATAATGAATGAAGCAAAGGATTCTTGTAAAGTCAAACTTTCAATTTTTGTTTTCGATCGTCAGCTGAATTTTAGATTGGATGATTTATGTTTGATGTTCCACAGTAAAAACACTTTCGTTTTCATTAATATTTACAAAACGATATATGGACGTCACATAATTAGATTTTGGAATAGTGCATGAGCAGTAACAACGAACCATTAAGTAAAATATATGTTACTATAGTATATAGATTTAATTGAAATAAATGAGTATGTGAGTACTTCAATCTACCACATATTGGTATATGTAGGAATAACTGTTTATGTTGTTGTCCTTTTTTGCGGATACAGTTAAGACACCTGAGTAACCCGTTTTTACAGTAATGTCCCATAATTTATCGTTTTCTTTTTTATGCACCTTGCCATCGATTAAGAGTTGTTGAATCACAGGAGACGACATTGCAAAACGAACATTTGAATTTGACGGGATATTACGTACAAGCGGCTCGATAAGATGGCAATTGTATTCATTTGTAGAGGAGTATGTTTGAGGAAAAGGAGTTGCGATTTTTGCCGCTTTTTTGTTGAGAACTAGAATATTCATCGCTTCACTATATGTGTCGTTGCCTTCCAACTCGCTAAAAAGTGTAATTTTGTAGTACCCCTTACTTACAAAACGTGTTTTAACACAAACCGAATCATTCGATTGTTCAACCATGACAAAATCTGAACTTCTGCTTCCGTCTGTTTCAAATATATCCGCAGAACATTTAACAGTCTTATTCGTCTTAATTAGGAATTCAAATTCGCCGTTTTGACATATTTGAAAAGCTGAAATCGACTCGGAATTTGCAAAGCCTCGAAGTTTACAATCAGTAGAGGGCCCATAGAATCCACTATGTTCCGGATAGGGCATGAATTCGTCCTCTATAGACGTACATTCTATCAAATACTCTGTCAGATTAGGCATGACATGTTGTGATTCATCAACTGTTCCGAATATCTGAAGCATATACTTTCCGATTTTCCTTGGTGTGATGGTAATGGTGTAATTTGAAAAGTTGTTCTTTACTATTACTACAGATTCGTTGCAGAGTTCTCTGCTACTACCATAAAGATTCACACTGACATTTGTCAAAGTGACTTGCTTCGATTCCATTGATATTGAAGCCTTTCTGTCAGCTTTCACAACTTCATTTTTATTGGATGGAAATATGACATCCCATTCTCTTGCAACATTTGTTGTTTTCAAAGTTTTTGAAAATTCTTCAAGAGACACCGGTTTTCGGAGAAGTTGCCATTCCTTGCTTCCCTCTACGTCATTATTGATGTAAGGAAAATGATCTTCTATGAAATGTTCTGGTTTTGTTAAAAAGTAGAAATTTGAAAATTCCTTTACGAATGTTCTTTTTTTATTTATATGACCAGCTCCCCATGTTGTCTCTATAAATCTCCATTTCCCAGAAACAAAAACAACATTCCAAGCATGATCTGTTTTGTTTTGATAAGATAAGATAGTCCCAAGCTGGTGGCCATATCCCTTCGAGAATCCACTGATCTTTTGGCATTTTATGTTCTTTGCCCTAAAACAAAATGTTATATAAATATACAAAAGACTTAAACATGAAAAATGTAAATTATAATTATCATGATTATTGGTATGTTCATCGAAAACTGGAAATAGAACAAGATTGTGGTAAACGTTTATTCCCAAAATTCAAACATTCATTTGATATTGAGGTAGGTCGATAAGTACGATCTTTTATCTTTGTTTTTTTTTTTTGATGTACGAAATAAGATGATCAGCATGATAAGAGATTGAGGCAAACAATATAATGATTACTGTGCAATGAAATGATCATGATGTGATAGATTGTATACAATGACTTAATTAAATAATATGTGTTTAAAATCAGTAATTAACATAATTGAATTACAGCATAATACGTGCAACGTGACTAATTTAGTATATTTACGCTGTACATACACACAGAGGGCTTGGAAGAGCCTGGCATATCCTTCACAAACACTGCTTTTAGATTTTAAAACACCACTAGGTTCTGTGACTGCGGATGTCCCACTAAAGAAAGCTGTTGCATTGTAACTACAAGTACAGATAAATGTAAATCTCAATATTGTAAAGACATGATACATGTGTAAATATATAGTAACTGTTATAATTTTTTAGAATTTCTAAATAAGTCTCTCATAATTCTTTATAAAATAGACTTGTATCATAACTTGCACAATGCAGATATTATCATGATGATTGTATTAAATGTATTACAAGTGCTAAGACTTTAATAGAATATTGAATCATCAATCATGAATCAGGTATCATACAAGTAAATGTCTTTGAAATAATCTACTTTTTTATTAATTCATCTGTTTACTTTTCCCAAAAGCAGGCTGATAATTGAAATGAAAAGGTTGTGCAATAAGTTTTTTATGGCTTCCGGTTGACAGCCATGTTGTGATAAACATGCAGAAAATTGGTCGTGGTAAATTGATTCTATCTGCTTAATATCTAACATTTCACTTAAACAGAGTAGTACAACAAGCGTCATATTCATTTAGTATGACTTTTTTACACTGAACGAGGTGACTTTCATTTAATTTTCTCCTGAACTAACCAGTCTTCAATCGGCGATTCCCGCCTGGGTATACCTGTTCTTAAACAATAACAATGGCTGATAATGAGTGTAAAGATTTTGCCGACATCGGAAAATGTTTTCAGAAATTACATGTATATATCAACACTGAAGTAGAAAAACTAAAAGTAAAGCAAGAACAGATTGATGATAGAGTTAAAATACTTGAAAACCAGGCCGAGTTTGCTAACGGTGAGCTACATGACATTCATAATTCCAAAATTCCAAACTTAGAGTCACTAATAGCCGAGGAGGCAAATGAACGTCTTAAATTAGAGGTGTGGGGAAGGAAATGGAATTTAATTATCCGTGGGCTCGAGGGAACTGTTGGTGAATCCCGAAAGGTCACCGAAAACATAGTCCGATAATGGCTGCATCATGATAAAAGGGGGCTTGGGTTTGCTGCTCCGCAGGTGAAAAGTATGCTATTTACAGCAGTTCATAGATTGCCAAATGGTCCTGAAAAGAAACGCAATATAATCCTTAGGCTATCAAACTTGATAGATCGAGATGATATCCTTACTGCTGCCACAAAACTGCCTAGGGGTGCGGATACAGTGTGGTCACGGACCTCCCACCTTCACTTGCAGTTCGTCGCGGTGAACGCCAGGCAGAGAGAAGCAAGATGTCCAGTGAGGAGAAAAGAAAATGCAGACTAGTATACTTGAAAGAGTCACCTTTCGTCCAACTCGTAAAGAAAAGATCATAAACATTACGCGTCTAGTACAGAGATCGCTTTGAAAATCGAATGATTTTTGCTTTCAAGATTTATTTGAACATTGAAATAAAAATGATGCTACATTTTTTCACCTTTATTTACCTTTTTTGTTAGTTTGTTTATATATTTATTTGAATGTACATTTTCTCTTTACTCTATTTGTATTTAGTCAGGCAAAATTTTATATAACACTATTTGTGTTATTCGTGAGTTCTCCTCTCAGTATTAACTTTTCTTAACGTAAATAGTGGGTGTGGCATAGTTGTACATTTCACATTCCTGTAGGCGGAGTCTTGTGTATTCATAATGTAAACATTTGGATACTCGGAATCTCTCTATAGTTTTGTTCTGCTACAATCATAACAAAATGGAAGCCTCCGTGGAAAAACACATGTTATTATTTAATCATAAGCCTCGTCACATCAGTGCTGTTTACAGGTATAAACAATATGAACAGGGTTTACCCTAACAATCTTAGTCCTACACATGCATCTGTTTATTTTTATCAAATTTCAGTCCCCTAATTCGTACAATAAATGTGAATTATATTTATATGGTTTGTTAAATACTATAGTATATAGAAAAATATCTATTCTTTTAGATACAATCAGAATGTGGATAACACTTAATCTAGATTACAAGGTATGGTCTTCATTTATTTACGCGTTATGCCTCCAGTTTTGGAGATAGCTGCAAAACCATTATAGTTATGTAACTAGAAACTACATTGAATGGCAGCTTAGACCAAAGTTGTGCATGCAAACAGCTTTGGTGCTTAATTGCATTATTTATCTTGCGTTTTCATGTTGACTAAAATGCTGACCTGTTTACTGCATTCTGCTTTTGCTGCTTTAGTTTAAGCTTTATTTTTTTGATATCATGTTGCTTGATATGTTTAATTGCTTGCTGCATATTATGCTTATGATTTATTTATTTATCTATCTGGTTGTTATTCATGCATGACGTGTAGTAGTAAAGTTTTGTATACATGACTGTGTGTATTGTCCATATTTTACATGTATTGTTTTGTCTACAATTCACTGTATAGTTATAAGTTATTAAATCATGCACTTTAGGGGCTTGTAAAATTTGCACATTCACTATAAAGTGAATTTTGTACTATGACTCTATGTTACACCCACAATATTCGGGATTCAGGAGAATTATATACATTTATTTAATTTTGGTTAGAGTTTTCTACAGTTTATGAGGAGAAAATGATTTATTTGCAGATCTGTTATCAAAATTCTTACTATACCAGGACCATAATAACTCAACAAATTTAAACAACTTATTCACGGTCTTGCAAATTTGGTTACTACTTACAACAAATGGAAGTTTTTAACGACCTTGACTGGCTATACAGCCCTTGCACGGTCGGCCCTGGCTTGCGCCTTTTTGGTTACTACTTAGAATGACCCGGAAAGGGGGGGATTAAGAAGGGAGGGAATTCAAAGGGGTCGGGAAATATTATTTTGAAAACCCTGAATTGCTACCAAGCTCAGTGTGATCTTATTTTCTTTTTTTTTTATACAGATGTCTAAATATTTATTATTTATTTGTCAGTATGTTAAAAAAATCAGGAATGACATACCATCATAGTATACTGAAAACATTTGACTGTTGGATAGAATTACATAATACACCTATTGAACTATTCGATAAATGACTTGTTTGAAAATAGGTGCTCTTAACTGTAGGGGTCTGTCAGAGGAGGAGATTTTTTTCAAGATATAGGAAAAAATATGATATAATTATATTAACAGATACACATTGTACTAAAGAAAATGAAAAGCAGTGGGCACATGAATGGGGGTATAAGGCATTCTTTAGCTCTGGCTCCAGCCGCTCAAGAGGGGTAGCAATTTTAATAAAAAATTGTTTTACATGTATTATTCACAAAGAAAAAAAGGATCAGGAAGGCAATTTTATCATTCTAAATATGACCATTCAAGATTATCGACTGTCTCTTGTTGCAATATATGGTCCCAATGGGGCCTCTCCAACTTTTTTTGAAAATATAAAAAGTCTTAGTATCTGGTATAAAAAATAGCTCCATAATTATGGCTGGAGACTGGAATGTGGTGCAAGACTTTGATAAGGACACCTCAAACTATAGTGCTAAAAACAATATAAGAGCACATTATAAAATTTTAGATATGATAGAGTCCCTGGACCTTGTTGATATATGGCGAGCCTTAAATCCGGATACAAAAAGATTTACATGGCGTGGACCTGGGCTTAAGCAAAGCCGTTTGGATTACATTTTGATTTCCTCTGATCTTGAACCATTTGTAAAAAATGTAGACATGGATATAAGTTATAGGTCTGATCATTCTCCAGTGTACCTGACCTTACAGTTTTACAATCAAATTAAAGGTAAAGGCACATGGAAATTTAACAATAGTTTACTAGTCTATGTAACTGAAATAAAAATTGCATTAGGGAAACTATAAATCACTACTCTCTGCCTTGGAATGATTTAGAAACAGAAGTATCAGTGAACCCACAAATGTTTTGGGAACTCTTAAAATGTATGATAAGAGGGAAAACAATATCATATGCCAGTTATATAAAAAAGCAAAACACAAAAACCGAAAATGATTTAGAACTCAAGTTGAAAATTATGAAATAGATCCCCCAGAATTATTAAATTCAGAAATTAAAGTTTTAGAAGATGAACTTGTTCAACACAGAGAGAAAATAGTAAGAGGTATTATAGCAAGAGCAAAGGCAAGATGGGTAGCAAAAGGTGAAAAATGTACTAACTATTTTTGTAATCTCGAAAAAAGAAATTATACTGAGAAAATAATTCCAAAATTAATTAAGGATAATGGAGAGGAAATTATTTAACCAAGGTGAAATTTTAGAAGAACAAAAATCATTTTATGAAAAATTGTACTCCTCAACAAATCCTATTCTTCATCAAGAATATAAAAATCTATTTTTTGATGAAAATAATCCTTTTATCCGCAAACTTTCTGATGAACAGAGGTAACAGGCAGAGGGTAATTTGAATGCTAATGAATGCTTAAAAACATTGAAAAATATGGAAAATGGTAAATCTTCAGAGATGGATGGATTTACAACTGAATTTTATAAATTCTTTTGGATAGACCTCCATGAATTTATTATAAAATCTTTTAATTATAGCTTAAAAACTGGGACTTTTTCTGTTAGTCAGAAACAAGGAGTTATGACATGCATTCCAAAAGAGGGTAGATCAAAATTTCAATTAAAAAACTGGAGACCTATCACTTTATTAAATGTTGATACAAAAATTGCATCAGCTGCTTTAGCAAATAGAATAAAACCTTTTCTTAGGGCTATAATTAGTGAAACACAGCAAGGTTTCATAAAAGGGAGATATATTGGAGAATGTACCAGGCTTAGTTTTGACATTATGGAAAAGGCAGAAGATAATAATCTTCCAGGTCTTTTACTTTTATTAGACTTTGAGAAAGCTTTTGATACTCTTGAAAGGTCATTTATAGACTTGGCTTTGTCTTTTTTAGGATTACGTCCTAATTTTTTTGTAAATGGGTCAAGACCTTATATTCAGAATCTCAGAGCTGTATTATAAACAATGGACATTGCTCTCAATTTTTTAATATTGGTCGGGCTGTAAGACAAGGTGATACTTTATCTCCTTATCTCTTTATATTATCTTTAGAACTTATGAGCGCTGCACTTAAAAATAACCCGGATATAAATGGTCTGAAAATAAATGATTCTGAGTATCTACTAAGCCAGTATGCAGATGACTCATGTCTTTTATTAGACGAGAATGAGCAATCTTTAGAAACATGTTTATATACTTTAGAAAAATTCTCTGAGTGTGCTGGACTAAGGGCTAATTTTGATAAAACTTAAGCCATATGGATTGGGTCAAAGATTCACTCAAGGGATAAACTAACAACTACAAGAAATTTGAACTGGAATTATTCAGGAAAATTTAAACTTTTAGGAATAAAATTTGATATGTTCAGTGAAAATAAAACGCTTGTAAATTTTGTGGAAAAAATAAAAAAAATATAGAGCTTACTAAATTCCTGGGTATATAGAGATTTAAAATATATGGGAAAGATCACTGTTATTAAATCATTAGCTCTACCTATTCTAATCCAATCATTGACAGTTTTGCCAAACCCACCTGATGATAAAATAAAATTTATTCAAAATATTTTTTTTAGTTTCTTGTGGTCAGCAAAACCAGATAAGATTAAAAGAAAAGTTATGATAAGGTTATTTGAAAATGTGGGGTTGAAAATGCCAGATATAAGATCTTTTTGTTATTCACTAAAGATGACATGGATAAATAAACTTTTAGACCCCTTGAATATATCCCCTTGGAAAACACTGTTAATAGATCAATACAACAGATTAGGAACAGACAAAATATGGTTGATGACCCCTGATGGTATCAAAACGATTTCTTCAAATTTTAATAATTTTTGGAAAGATATTTTACTAAACTGGAATATCCTTAACACTGTCACTAATTGCACTGCTGACGGGATCATGAAACAATCCATATGGCTAAACAAGAGTTTGAAAATAAATAATAAAACTGTCTTTTACCAGAGGTGGATTACATCAGGAGTTTTCTTTGTAGGTCATTTACTTGATGAAAACAGTGAATTGTTTACTTTAAAGGAATTCTGCAGAAAATATAATCTTAGAATTAATTTCTTGGAATACCATTCTTTACTTCATATGATACCAAAAGACTGTAAAGATCTAATCAGTACTTCAGAGAAAATCATGCACATATCTAACGATAAATTTGAATTTATTAAAAACAACAAAAAGTCATGTCAATTCTTTAATAGGAAATTCTTGTCAATGTATACAGAACGTCCTACAAAACAAGAAGACAAAATGTGTAAAGAACTAGGCACTAATATAGAAAATTGGGATTTCATTTATAGTTTACCCTTTTGTTGCACTAAAAACAACAAATTTAGTATGTTCCAGTTTAAGATTTTACATAGAACTCTCGCTACAAATGCATTATTGCAGAAATATGGGTTAAAAGAAACTAACTTATGTAGTTTCTGTAATGAAACTAAAGAAACTATAAGTCACCTTTTCTGGGAATGTACCCAAGTTAGAAATTTGTGGTTAGAAATTGCAGCACTTTTTCAAGTTGAAAATAATCTAACTTTAATTTTTAATGTGGAAAATATTGTTCTTGGGTCAGAGTCTTGGGATGTTTCCCTAAACTTATTCACTATTCTGGTTAGGTATCACATTTATACATGTCGCTTTTACACTTCATTACCGACTCTTACAGGTGCGATAGCTATGATTAAAAATTCCTACCAAATAGAAAAAATATCTACCTCCTTTTACAGATCCCCTAAAGCAAGACAGAAATTTGATAGTAAATGAGAATTGATTAAAAACTTAGTTCACATGTGAGGAGAGATCTTTCTATTTTGTACTCACTTAAGGCTTTATAATAATTTATGTAGAATTAATAATATGTTGATGCACATCACAACTGGACAGTGATTTGTGTGCATCATAAAAGTGCTATCTAGGATGTTTATTGATATTGTTATATATATATTGATATACTTGTTTTTGTTTGATTGTATTTAAATTATCTCCCCTTGACTTAGGTTGTCATTTATTTTGTGATTCTGTCCAACATGTCATGTCTGACCCTTATCTGTTAATGATCTCTGGTGGTCTCTCCTGGTACCTCTCATGGTCAACATCATTGTATAGACAGTGATGCATGTGGCTAGAGGAGAAGGCTGATATCATCATTAACCTTATCAACATATTCAGGTATTCTAATCCAGAGTGATAAATGATGAGTATGATCGAGTAGATAATTATCACATATATATAATATACAATAAGCATACCTAACTTTTTAATTTTAGACTGTTATTGAAAAATTTAATATTAATATATGTATTATGAATTATCTATGTATTTATGTATCACAATGCTTGGTATTTTTTGAGATAAAATAAAAATAAATTACAAAAAAAAATTTTTTGATGCCTTCTCTTAAATATTTCGCAAGCGTAATTTGGTAATGTGTTTTACAAAGTTAAAAACGCATGAAATAGATTTTCAGAATGCATGCCTGGGGTTCTAAATACCCTTCATCGGACATACTTGATGTCAGGTTATAACATCATTTTTTTCCAAAATCCAGGAATACTTATCAAGATTACTTATTACAGCTCTACATGTATGTGAAGTTGTATTTTAACTTGATAAAAATATACTATAAGTTGTCAATGTATAAATAATTTTCTCTAGCTATTTGCAATCTAACTCTTTCTAGACACATTGTTTAAAATAATTAACCAACGTGTGGTTGCCTATGCCTATATCTCCGTAGACTATTGGCTAAGTTCAAAGTACGTCATATCCTTTATCAGCTCTCGGGATAAATCGAAATGTGCGTTAAAAGTCTTAGACAATTGACATATTTATATTTGTATGACGTAGAAATATGAGATGTGGAAGGAATCCGGAGGGGATTTCCCTTTATCAAACATGAAAATCATATTAACAAATCAATAGGGAAAAAGATTCTGTCATAGTTACTTCTGTGTTATCGGAGTTTTTCCAATCTCGATAACTAAAATATCGAATTATAAAGGCCTGGACGAGGCTCAGTTTTTAAAAATTCGAGAATTTAACTATCACTATCGGATAAATCCGATAATCCACTTGTACCAATGCTCTCTCTCTCGCTTTTCTTGTAGAACTTAACTGTACCTACCGTTTATCCCTAATATAGTCATATATTACATGTTATGCCTACCTTATATTATTACAGATCCAAACATAAAAAGATCGAATGGTCTCCAGTTCACTTTTGGCAGGTTTTGCCAGGTAGTCAGCAAGTTCGGTGATGGAGTTTTCAACATACTTTGGCGTCTACAGATATAATTTGTTAAATTGAATCAAATTCAAAATATTAATTTGTAATAATCGATATTTTGTTCTCGTCTAGATCTTAGACTTAACTTATAAATACGACCATCTAGTACTAAAATATGTAAAACATGTAATAAAATAAAAAGTGCAAACTGGTACAATATACGGTCGTGAAACTATTTATTTTGGATCAGTGTTATCTTTGCTCTTATGTTACACGAAGACTCTTAAACACACAAAAATCTACCATTTTTGTATCATTGTGTCCTATTTGAATTAACAGTGTGTGCTCATGTTCTTTCTTATGTTGAATTTTATCAGCATTTAAGCCATCTATGTTGACCAGATAGCGCCATGCTATCCCGAGGAGACTGACACACAAATGTTCATGTACGCAAAGTATGTGGCAATATATGATAGCAGGACAATAACTACATGTATAGTAAACACAAATAATGATGTAGTTGTCGTTGGTGTATGTACTCACAGAGCTAAATGTAGACATGCTATAGATTGCTTTTAGGAAATGTCTAATCATGCATTCACTGGTTGTGATATGGTTTATGCTTTTGTTAATGAATCAAACAGTCACTGAAACAAAAGGTCAAGTGGCTAATGATTATTTCGATAATGTAGAGCTACATACCAAATTTGGTATCATCACATGATGTGCCAGCTTTCCGTTTTACTGATATCATTGCCTACATGCTTACCGATATCATTTCAATCAGATGAAATATGTTCGGCAGAGGTCAAAACCCACATACACGGGATTTAAAATAGTCGATATTTCATCGAAAAGATAAATGCTATGCATGCCACAACCATAGAATAAACTTGTGAAGTATTATACTAGTTTGATATGATTGGTATCAGAACAGACATACATGAACTTTATAAAATGAATGGTATTCTGTTTCTTCCTCTAAATTCATTCTAAACAGCCTAAATACATTTATAAATTCAGAATAGGTTAATACCTGTAAGGCATGATCATCTATTGATTTCAGGTCATTATATGTGATTTTCAGATCAGAGGACACATTTTTAGATCTGAAACTAAAATGAAAGATTTGTTTATGGTTTTATTACAGTAACTGCTGCACTATTATTCGATGATTTGTATTCTTCTCAAACTGTTTTTTTATATTAAATTAATCTTAGTTTCATTTGTGCTAATTGTTTGATTTTTCTCTGAACTTTTGTTTTGTCTTCGTGGTACTTCCACTATGATACATAGTTTATATTGCTTGTTCCTGTGATATTAATTAGTACCTTTCTTTTGCGCGTTTCCATACAGTTCTTACAAGTAAATATGTGTTTTTAAAACCAACAGAAATTTCGAGTGACTACGTCACTTTCAAGTAATTTGCAATTGATGTCTCAGCATAAACTGAGAGATCGATATACAATTGCAAGAGCAAATATGCTTTTTCTAGTATTGTTGGGCGTGTAACTTCTATACAAAATATGAGTCTCATAAAACCATTGTCAAGGCTATTCAAATGAATGGGGAAATATATTATGTAAAGGGATATGAATGTGTATGCATAGTAAATCGTTTTAAGTAATTTAATATACAAAATGTAGTTCATGTCATTATTTTTGTTTTATAGATACTTTCTAGCAACGCTCCATTAATTTCATTATTTAATGCATTTACCATTGATTTATTGTTGTAGTGAACATAGTATGGGCTTTGCTCATTGTTGAAGGCCGTACGGTGACCTATAATTGTTAATTTCATTGTCATTTGGTCTCTTCTGGAGAGTTGTCTCATTGGCAATCATACCACATCTTCTTTTTTGTATAGCTTGACCGTTTTGTATACCTTAACTTTTGAATTATTGTTTTAGGGATTATAGCTTGACAGTCTTGTATACCTTTAGCTTTGGTGTATTGTTATAGTTATCATAGCTTACCCTTCTTGTATACCTTTACCTTAGATTTATTGTTTTAAGTGATCATAGCTTGCCATTCTTGTATACCTTTACCTTCGATTTATTGTGTTAGTGATCATAGCTTGGCCGTCTTGTATACCTTCATCTTGGGTTTATTGTTTTAGTGATCATAGCTTAACCGTCTTGTATACCTTTACCTTAGATGTATTGTTTAAGTGATCATAGCTTGGCCGTCTTGTATACCTTTACCTTAGATTTATTGTTTTAGTGATCATAGCTTGCCCGTCTTGTATACTTTTACCTTTGATTTATTGTTTTAGTGATCATAGCTTGCCCATCTTGTATACTTTTACCTTTGATTTATTGTTTTAGTGATCATTGCTTGCCCGTCTTGTATACTTTTACTTTTGATTTATTGTTTTAGTGATCATAGCTTGCCCGTCTTGTATACTTTTACCTTAGATTTATTGTTTTAGTGATCATAGCTTGACTGTCTTGTATACCTTTATCTTTGTTTTATTGTTGTAAGTGATCAAAGCTTAACCGTCTTGTATACCTTTACCTAAGATTTATTGGTTTAGTGATCATAGCTTGGCCATCTTGTATACCTTTATCTTTGGTTTATTGTTTTGGTGATCATAGCTTGACCGTCTTGTATACCTTTATCTTTGGTTTATTGTTGTTAGTGATCAAAGCTTAACCGTCTTGTATACCTTTACCTTAGATGTATTGTTTTAGTGATCATAGCTTAACCGTCTTGTATACCTTTACCTTAGATGTATTGTTTTAGTGATCATAGCTGAACCGTCTTGTATACCTTTACCTTAGATTTATTGTTTAAGTGATCATAGCTTGGCCGTCTTGTATGCCTTTAACTTAGATGTATTGTTTTAGTGATCATAGCTTGCCCGTCTTGTATACTTTTACCTTAGATTTATTGTTTTAGTGATCATAGCTTGACCGTCTTGTATACCTTTATCTTTGTTTTATTGTTGTAAGTGATCAAAGCTTAACCGTCTTGTATACCTTTACCTAAGATTTATTGGTTTAGTGATCATAGCTTGGCCATCTTGTATACCTTTATCTTTGGTTTATTGTTTTGGTGATCATAGCTTGACCGTCTTGTATACCTTTATCTTTGGTTTATTGTTGTTAGTGATCAAAGCTTAACCGTCTTGTATACCTTTACCTTAGATGTATTGTTTTAGTGATCATAGCTTAACCGTCTTGTATACCTTTACCTTAGATGTATTGTTTTAGTGATCATAGCTGAACCGTCTTGTATACCTTTACCTTAGATTTATTGTTTAAGTGATCATAGCTTGGCCATCTTGTATACCTTTATCTTTGGTTTATTGTTTTGGTGATCGTAGCCTGACCGTCTTGTATACCTTTATCTTTGGTTTATTGTTGTTAGTGATCAAAGCTTAACCGTCTTGTATACCTTTACCTTAGATGTATTGTTTTAGTGATCATAGCTTAACCGTCTTGTATACCTTTACCTTAGATGTATTGTTTTAGTGATCATAGCTGAACCGTCTTGTATACCTTTATCTTTGATTTGTTGTTTAAGTGATCATAGCTTGGCCGTCTTGTATGCCTTTAACTTAGATTTATTGTTTTAGTGATCATAGCTTGACCGTCTTGTATACCTTTACCTTAGATGTATTGTTTTAGTGACCAAAGCTTGGCCGTCGTGTATACCTTTATCTTTGGTTTATTGTTTTAGTGATCATAGCTTAACCGTCTTGTATACCTTTACCTTAGATTTATTGTTTTAGTGATCATAGCTTGGCCGTTGTGTATACCTTTATCTTTGGTTTATTGTTTTAGTGATCATAGCTTAACCGTCTTGTATACCTTAACCTTAGATTTATTGTTTTAGTGATCATGGCTTGCCCGTCTTGTATACCTTTACCTTAGATGTATTGTTTTAGTGATCATAGCTTGCCCGTCTTGTATAACTTTACCTTTGATTTATTGTTTTAGTGATCATAGCTTAACCGTCTTGTATGCCTTTACCTTTAATTTGTTGTTTAAGTTATCATAGCTTGGCCATCTTGTATACCTTTACCTTAGATTAATTGTGTTAGTGATCATAGCTTGGCCGTCTTGTATACCTTTATCTTGGGTTTATTGTTTTAGTGATCATAGCTTGACCGTCTTGTATACCTTTACCTTAGATGTATTGTTTTAGTGATCATAGCTTGCCCGTCTTGTATACCATTACCTTAGATGTATTGTTTTAGTGATCATAGCTTGACCGTCTTGTATACCTTTACCTTAGATTTATTGTTTAAGTGATCATAGCTTGGCCGTCTTGTATACCTTTATCTTTGATTTGTTATTTTAGTGATCATAGCTTGGCCGTCTTGTATACCTTTATCTTGGGTTTATTGTTTTAGTGATCATAGCTTGACCGTCTTGTATACCTTTACCTTATATTTATTGTTTAAGTGATCATAGCTTGACCGTCTTGTTTACCTTTATCTTTGATTTGTTGTTTAAGTGATCATAGCTTGGCCGTCTTGTATACCTTTATCTTTTGTTTATTGTTTTAAGTGATCATAGCTTGACCGTCTTGTATAACTTTACCTTTGATTTATTGTTTTAAATGATCATAGCTTGACCGTCTTGTATAGTTTAACATTAGATTTTTTGTTTTAGAACTTGTATACGTTAATAACTTACTTTTGACTATTATCTACAATAACTGGTTGTATCGTTGATTTTGAGATACAGCATCCCATTTTTACGATTGCATGCAAATGAAGTTCTACTCATGCAGCACTTCATTCAATGTCGTATCTGGTTCACTGTGTAAGATATGCAATTAAGCGGTAAAGCTTATTGAAATACTGATTATCAATTTTATTTAAATTTGTCTAATTAAAATTTGTATTTCCCAAACATCCCTTTCTTTCTGTGTTTGATGTTTTGTTTAAAGGTAAGCATATCTTAAATTGTCTTAGCACAAGTAATGTTTGTTGAATTGCCGAATTTAAATACACGTTTTAAATTGAAAATAGCACCGTTATGATTATTTCAATATTTTTTGATGGCCTAATTGCGTCATTTGGTTTCTGAGGAATAGTTGTCTCATTAGCAACCATACCGCGTATCTTTATATAAAGAGTCAATAAAAGAAAATTGATGGAATGAATGACATCTTATTTGGGTTTTTTTTCAACCAAAGCTGAAGCTCTGGATCTTCCTTCATTGTATTGGATACCTAAACTACATAAGTGTCCATACAAACAGCGTTATATTGCTGTGTCTTTCAAGTGCTCCACAAAACCACTTTGTAAATTATTAACATCAATATTATTAGCCATCAAACCCAGGTTTCAAAGTTATTGTGAAATTACATATTCTAGAGGCGGCGTGAATCAGATGTGGATACTAAAATATTCCAAAGATCTTTTGGGGTACATACAATCTAAGACTCTTTCACTAAACGCAATAATATCAAAACATTCGACTTTTTTACCCTTTACACTCTTAATCCTCATTCCAAATAAAAAAGACAAATTGGAAAAGTTAGTCCTGCTTTGTTTCATAAATAAGAATGGCCAACGTAGATACAAGTATCTTGTCTTAAGGCGGGATAAATATTACTTTGTAAAATATCACTCTAATTCAAACAAATTTTTTTCAGAAACTGACATTATCAAGATGCTTGATTTTATTGATTGACAACATGTTTGTTACGTATTGAGGACGTGTTTTCAACAAACAATACACATTCCTATGGGAATCAACTGTGCTCCTCTTCTTGCTGACTTGTTTCGTTATTTATATCAGGCTGATTTCATACAGGAGCTGCTTAGGAAGAAAGAAAACAAGATAGCAGTATTCTTTAACTTCACTTTCCGCTATAAAGATGATGTTCTCTCACTAAACAACTCAAAATGTGGTGACTGTGTTGAACCTATCTATCCCATCGAACTTGAGATAAAGGATACAACAGAGACAGTTAAGTTTGCCTCATATCTTGACTTACATCTAGAAATTGACAATAAAGGTCGCTTAAAAACAAAATTTTACGACAAAAGAGATGATTTTAGCTTCCCAATTGTGAACTTTCCATTTCTATGTAGCAACACTCCAGCAGCGCCTGCATACGGAGTATATATCTCCCAGTTGATACGATATTCCAGGATTGTATTTCCTATCATGATTTCCTTGATAGAGGGTTGCTGCTCACAAGGAAGCTTTTAAACCAAGAAGTCCAATTGGTGAAATTGAAATCATCCCTTCATAAATTTTACGGACGCCATCATGAGTTGGTTGACCGTTATGAAATATCTGTTTCACAGATGACAACAGGTATGTTCCAATTGTCGTAACTAAAATCCCGTCCCCTTTTCCCCGAAGGTAACCTACGGAATTAGACTTATCACCGGGTTTGTACTTACATGAGTAGCACGACGGGTGTCACGTGTGGAGCAGGATCTGCTTACCCTTCCAGTGCACCTGGGATAACCCCCAGTTTTTGGTAGGGTTGTTGTTGCTCAGTCTTTAGTTTTTTATGTTGTGTTTTGTGTACTGTTGTTTGTCTGTTTGTCTTTTTCTTTGTTAGCCATGGCGTTGTCAGCTTATTTTCGATTTGTAAGCTTATTCCTTTGGCATCGCTTGTTTCTCTTTTGTAAGATTATAATTGGTAATTATATATGCATGTGCAAAGAAAAAAACTTGTGGAACAATCTGAAAAATCTGTTGTATATACAAAGATTACAAATTTACATTTTCCTGTAGATTTACAGTTTAAACTATTTGAATATCTTGGAGAACAAATTGTGTCGTACGGATAAAAATATATGGTTTTGAAAAAGTTCATTTACAAGCCAACACAAGAATTTTAAATGTGAGATGAAGCACCCAAAAAGTTATGATATATGAAGAATTGGGAAGGTAGTATAAGTTAAAATGATAAATGATATCGTTTTGTATTTGAATGGCTAGAAATGAAAAACAAACATATTAGTTGAATGTTCAAACTCATTTTTAAATTACATTCTTTAACTGTTACAATTTTCACCACGAGACGAGTTTCTACATTACTAAACCACTTTCAAAATTGGTCATGAAGTATTTATTTGATAACATGTTTAAATATAAAATAATCAATGTATTAGTTTAAAAAGTATAATCTAATCCTGAGTTGTCAAATATAGATTTTAACGTATGTTAATATATTATTCACAAATATTAGTTGTTTTAAGCTCAATTTTGATATTATGTCGTCGACCAGAATATGGATTTAAAAAAACAGAACTTGCAATCTAATAATTCAATAGAAACTGGTCGATGGTACAACAACCCTTTAACTGATCGTATATAGTTTTTTTTGTAATGAATGTGATGGTGACGAATATCAACATAACATCCTATATGTATGTGAATTAAGATTACTATGGCTGTACTGAGAAAGAAATACATTTCTAAATATTATATGGCAGCTCATCTGTACTGAAAATGCAAAAGATGTTGTCATTTAATTTTAATCACTGTTAGTTTTATTTAGCATATAAACTTTTATTGATCACGAAACTGTCTTCACTCGTTTAGATAAGTAGATAAACAGTTTTGTTACTTTTTATTTTTAGTTTACTGACTATTTTCGTCATTTATTCTGTTTGATTTGTAATTTGTCTTCATGTTATACATATTTTGAGTCTGAATGTAAATACAAAATTGTTTTTTTTACAGATCTTTTTTGTAGTAACCACAATCCCGAATTTCTACTTATTATGCACGTGTTGCTCAGTGGTTGAACAATTATAGCTGCGTACCTTTGGAATTTCTCAAGTCCAACCCAGTTTCTGTTGAGATTCTTGTTTGTCAGAATTTAGTTTTCTGTACATTCTTTGTTAAATGGTGTTTGTTGTTTTGTTTCTTTGATCATTGTGGTATTGTCTAACTTGTCGACTGATTGTATTTAATTGTCCCCTTAGTATCATCTAAGTACTTTGGGTGTATTTATTCTTTCGTCATTTTCTTAAGAAAGTGAGCGAATCTTGCTTACAGTATTATTACGATCGTTGTCTATATATATTTTTAAATGATAACAGAATGTACAACTTTCAACTATAATAATAAAGATGATCAAATAATAGGCCTTTTTTGCTGGATAATAAACTTCTCACCAGATCATTTCTTCTACAGCATTTTCTCTTTTATAGTGGGTCTTTTCTATTTTTGTTTCTTTTTTTTTCTAGTATTATTTTGTATTGTCAAAATGGCATCGGCTGATTAGTCCATTTAACTTTAAAGTTAATTGTGTTTTCTTGTTGCGTACGTATACACATCCGATCTTATCTGTTATCTGATTCATAGTTCGTGATAGTTTATCTTTTAATACCTGCTATACGACGGAAATAACATCCGAAAATCATTCTGATCTCAAATTAGGTTTTAGTCATTCAAACCAAGTAATCTTTATTTAGAAGAAAATATTTTAAATTACACCGTGCATGTTATCTTTAGGACATGGATTGTCTTATAGAACCGCCTCAGTAGTCTCGTGTCGGTATAGTTCAAAGCAGGGTATATATATATATTTCATATCACATAATCATGTTCTTATCCTGAATAGCATTTAATTCGCCACTTGACGTTAAACAGCCTTTCATCCATCCATTGATTGTCTTATGATTGATTGTATTATTTAAGGAAGTAGGAGAAGGGCCAACTTAAAAGTATGTCTTCTTATAAATAATATAGTTTACATCATATATGGATATAAATTTTGAAATGAAAGATATGAGACCAACTTCCGCAGAAAATTTCCTTCCTATTAGGCCAATTTTCAAACAAAATCCTTTCAATTTTACCGAAATGTTCAAAATCACAGCTTGTGTTCTTTGAAGGTGTGCCAATTTTTGTCAAATTTTAGAAAAATGAACCTTTTCATAATTGCTTAGTAATAGTTGAAACCTGTTAAAGCTCTTTTGCAATTGTTTGGCATTCATCCAAAAAAGAATAAGAAGAATCATAACCGGAACTAATTTCATTGAATACCTACATAATGATATGCATTCATTTTCGGATAAAAATTAATTCTTTTTTGGTTAAGTATATCATTTTAGGCAAACTTTTACAAATATGAACAATTGGCAATATGTTATCAAAAATGTCTTCAACAACTATGACGCTGAATATATATTTGATTGTAGGGCTTTGTGTAAAAGTGTAAGTATCATTTAGACTCTTTGATTTACAATTTAATTAGTTGGATTGACTTCTATATTTTGACCTCGTAAATGAACTAAGATAGTCGTTATTTACGATATGTTTTGGTTATAACAACACAATATCTACATGCACTACATAAGAACTTTGTATGTAGAAAACTTAAAAAGATATATAGCGTTATAACTTTATACATTTGAATATTTTACTTTGTAATATATAAAGTACGGATATACTACCAAATAATTTATTTACCTTTATAAAGATTGGAAGTATCACTCCATTTCACACAAATAAGTACTAATATAAGTACATGTTTTGCAAAAACAGTTTTTAAATAACGACAAATTTTGATATTTAAACTTATTTTGTTCCAAATATACACACGAAATTAGTTTGAGACCTTTACATAAAACAAATGAAAAATAAGTTATTTAATGATTGTAATCATACCTGCACAAGTTTAGTCGACAAGTTGTATGACATATTATTTAACTGATAACGTCGCGATATATACAATTTTTGTTGATAGTTTGACTTCCTTAGCAACCATGTATTTATAATCAGTCATGATATCTTGTTCCGTGTAAATCCATAAATTCTGTAGGAAAAAAATTGAGGAAGTTTTTGTGAAACCGGTAAATGTAGATTTGGATAATTAAAAAATGGGTTCCTTATTGAATTTTATTGAAATAGGCTTTCATTTTGAATAGAGGTGTCAACATAAGAACTCTTTTTAATATGTTTCAATTCCTATGAATAGCCCAATATAAAGCTATTTTCTATTCGATGTTATTGTGCAATCTATGTCAGTTTTTGTTTTGTTTCTGTTATATAAGATTAATGAGAAACGATTGTTCCTGTATCTAAAACCAAATAGGATATGTAATAATAACTACCCGTCAGTGACAAAAATGAAATGAAAATGGACACAAGAACAACTGTACAATCCTCAACACACAACAATTGAACAACATATACATGTTTACTTATTTGCTTACTCAGCATAAAAGCTATGAAAAAGAATAGCATTTTACTGATATATCACATAACATGTAAAATATCGTAGTAATACCTTAGTTTAAGAGCTCTACGATATAAGCTTTGCTATCTCCACGACATGTACAGAGGAATTGAATGAAATTCAACAGATTAATGGGGGAAATGCTGGGTATGCATCTAGGAGACAGCAGCACCATAACACAAACAACCAACCCGTATAAATAATTTGTTATTTCGGAAAGAGAATGACAAAAAAGTGGCAGAATGGGATATTAAAAAAAAACGTCACGACAAAGAACGAAAAACGACGAAAAGATGTACAAGTCCAAAACACACCAAATACGCTAAAACTAAAGATTTAACACACGAACTCTACCATAACCCGGGGTTGAACCAAGGTGCTCTGGGAAGATTAGCAGGCCCTGCTCCAAATTAGGTATCCGTCGTGTAGCTCATGCAACTATAAATCCAGTAATAAGTCTTTTTCGGTGAAGTCACAATCGAAAAAAAACAACATTTGCATGAATTTGAACAAACTGATTAAAACTATTTATATAACATCAAAACGATATTTAGGATTTAGAGTGTATACTGTACATTTAACTTATATGAATCGACCTTCTGTGTGCACTGTATTTTACATTTACTTCGAATTCCTTTTTTTTATCATTTTTTATCATTATACGTGTAGTTGTTAATTGATTTAGGACTTTCAGAATTAGTTAATACTTTATTCCTTCCACGATTGTTTACTTTGTCTTTGGTCAAGGTTTTCCCCTTCGCGCTTACGCTGTCCGATTGCTGGATTCCTAACGAAAGGTGTCATGGTTTAGGTCACTCACTGCATACGGAAAAGCTGTCAGCGAATTAGAGTACGGGGAGACGATAATTCAACTGGTGTACATTTCAGAAGATTTAATAAGATAAAAGAATTGATTTAAAAATGGTCTTTGTTCAAGCGTTTTATAGTAAAACTTAGCGAGTCAAGTATATAAAACAATCATCAATTTTGAAAAATTCGAAGTATCATTTGACTTTAATCAATAAGAGTATTCAATATTTGACGAGAAATGTTTGTTTATTATTACTGAAGACAATTTTTTTTAAATCAAAATAGTCGGTTTATTTCAATTCAAAAACAATTAATTATTGAAAATATGAATTTGAAAGTAAATGGCGCGTAAACTAATTGGCTAATATTAATAATTAAGCAACTGGTGTCTTTTGAATTACCAATAAGAATTACTAAAGTGACAGTTTTAAAAATAACATTTGGAACTTCTGAATGTCACAACCTCATTTGTTTTGTTGGTTATCTAACAATTGAGTATGAAGTTCACAAATCACATATTTAGTACCTTTTACTGACCTTCTCAATTGTTGATCACATGTAGTTTATGATGTTAAATAAAGTTTACAATTCAACAATATGTGTCTTATCCTAAAGTGGTATTTATTACAGCAATAAAACAAGACAGGAATATATTTGATCTCGCATTAATAGTTCATGACAAAATTATGTTGTTTACATTGTAT